TGAAAATATATATATATATATATTATATTTTTTTCAATTTATTTTTTCCCCCCTCCGCTCCAAAAAGCGATAATATTACGGTAGGGGTTAAGCGCCGGGAACAGGGGGAAGCGGCGCCGGGCGCGGAGTGACTCCGCGCTCGCCCACGGCCATCCCCCCCCCCCCCCCCCCCCCCAATTCGCTCGGGCGACCGGAGCTCCGGCCCCGCTCGCCTCACCGTGCCCCCTCTCCGAACCTCCCTCCTTCCCCCAGCTCCGGGCAGCGGCGGCCAGGCGGGTCCCGGTGCTTTGCGGAGCAGTTCCAGGAGGTTTTTACTGAGAAATCCAGAAGTGCCCGAACGCCCTGAGGAATCCCAGGAGCGCGCGCAGCAATATGGTTATTACCGGATGATATTTGGGAAGAAAAGTGCTAATGGGCAATCTGGTGTTTATTTTGAAACTGCTAACAATGATTTTTCTCTGGTAAAAAGGCAGTGTCTGGGCGCACGGCTGAGTGGGTTTTGAGCATGGGCTCTAACAGATGGTGCGGAGCTAGAGGTGCGCGCTCGCCCCGCCGCTCCCGGCGCTAGCCCGGCCGGGGGACCCGCTGCGGCTCGCCGGGCTCGGAGCTGCTTGCCCTGCCTGTCCGCCTGTCCGTCTGCCTTGCCCGCATCCCCGCCTGCCTGCATCCCTTGCGCGCATCCCCGCCCGCATCCCTGCGCGCAGCCCCGCCGGCGCTGGGCGCCCCGGGGGGGGGGGGGGGGGGGGAGCGCAGCGGCGACCCCCCTGCCACCTCCCCCGGTGTTAATTAGCGGGGAATTTGGGGGGGGGGGGGGGTTTAAAAGGAGGGGGGGGGTGGTGGTGGTGATGAACCGAGCCCTCAGCACGGCTCCCGCCGGGGTGGCGCGGCCGCGGCCGCTCGGTCAGTCCCGGGAGGCGACCGCGGCCGCGCAGCCCCGCGGAGCAGCCGCGCTGGGCGGAGGCGGGGGGAGGCCCCCGCGGCAGGTATTGTTTTGTAAAGAGAGGGGGGGAATATATGACAGCGCAGACATAACAAGCAGTCGGTGGCTGCGAGTGTTTGTTGTTGCAGCGTGCCATATAACTTCTGGTGATTGTTACTTTTCCTCTGATGAAACCACGTATTTATAAGTGATTTATTTTTTATTTTGTAGCACAAACAGAAATCCATAAACTGTCGGTTCAGCGCCATTGACTCTTTGATCAGTTACTGGGCTATTTTTTTTTTTTTTCCTCCCGTCAGTGAGGAGAGATTAAAAGCCCTTTATTTTCCTCACTCTTTCTGCTGCAAAGGTGCGGAGCCCAAATGAACACTAAAAGTGTATTTAAAACATATCCTCTTCGCCCCTTTATTATTCATCGGTAACGAAACTTATAGCTGCCTGAGTAAGCCTCTTAATTAGACTACTACAGCGATTTCCGAAAACATTTAGCTGCTCTATACAAAGGAAATAAACCCACATTGTCAACTCGAGAGCGCTCCAGAGTTTAAAAGGCTCCTCTGTAACCTATTGAAATAATTATTGAAGGGTACAACGCCTTCGTCTTTGTCAGAGTAATTGTACTTCGCCTGTCAGCTCTGCTTTTCTCCGGGAGGAAATCACACTATTTTACTACTGGAGGCATTTAGATCCAACCCGATTTTAGTCAAGAGAAGTCAAAAGTTTCTGCGGGAAGCGGGGGCTCAGCCCGGCCCGGGGAAAGGTCCCGCCTGCCCCTTGCTCGGGGATTACAAAGTTCGCAAAAATACTACATGTGGGCAGGCTTGCCTCGGCCGGGGGTGTTAAAAACCGGCAGATTGGTGGAATGGTTTTAATTTCCATCTCTGGTATCTGATTTCCAGAAGGCTGGGAATTATTCGCCAGGCTCACCTTCCTCCTTACCACCCCCTCCCCTTCAAAAAATAAAAATTTAAAAAAAAAAAAAAAAAAGTGAAATGTCTTTCCGGAAAAAAAAAAAAAAAAAAAAAAAAGTTGATTAAATCCAAAGCTAGTAAGTAGCTTTCTGTCTTTAATTGCTGTGGCGCAATGCTGATAACACGTAGTTATCATCGGAAAAGTTGACCAAGACAGGTTAAATAATTTAATAAGGAACTGCTTGTAATTATGTTATTTACAAGGTATGACAGAGGTTTGAGGAAGAAACAGAAGCTGATCTCAGGGAAATGGACGGGTTTGGGTGACCCCTGGAGCATGGAGTTTGAATTATGGAGATGGGGGGCTGAGAGGTGAATATGGACTAGAGGAGAACAAGATGACTTTTCACCTCAGCACATTTAACTTTTAAATCCAAATAAACGTCTCGCGTTACTAGATCGTCGCATTAGAAAAGAAAAGGACTAATCACGGCCCGTTTCGGAGTGGCTAAGGAAGGGGGCTGCCCTTTCCTCAGCGAGGAAAAATATCGCCAAAAAGAAAAAGAAGAAGAAAAAAAAAAAAAAAAAAGTTACAAAGGGGGAAAAGTGCATTTAAAAATAAATCTGGGCGACTCGATGTTGTATTTTTTTTCTCTTTCCTCTCTCCCTTGCTAAATTAATTATATCAAACATCTGTTCACATGACGTTGTACTTAATGCCACAGACACTACTTAATGATGCCAACGCTTCCTCGAACTGCAACAACACACCTTTTTCGCTTTTCAAAATATCCTCCAGTAATAGGTATCTGAATTGCTCGCTCAGGTAAATGAAAACAAGGGGCGGTTTAACATCCCCCTCCCGCCCCCCCCCCCCCCTCCCCCCGAGCCAGGGCAAAGTACAAACTTAGTAACTTGCGTGTTAGGAAAAGCGTAAACTTTCTCACCTGTTTGGTCATGGAGTCTATTAGGCGAACGTACAGGTCCTGCTCTGTCCTGACTCCTGGAGAGGGGAAGGAGACAAATTCCGATCAGGATTTCGCTAGCGAACCACCCAAATTACATAATGAAAGCATGAGGTCAGGCAATTAACTGCAATGGCCGGGGATCGGCAGTCGCGCCAGGCTTGAAAATCAAATAATAATAATAATAATGCTACTAACAATATTAATTATAATGATAATAACGATAATAATAATAGTAAAGGAGGGGGAAGAAATAAATAAAGAAAAAAAAAAAAAATAAGACCCCAGAAATCACCGGTGCCACCAGTGTCACCAGTGCCAGCGCTCCTGTCCACTCCCGAGCCTGGCGCCTGGGGGCCGTGCCCCAGAGTCCCCCCGGCATCCGGCCCCACGGCCCCCACGGCCACCCGCGAGCGCGGCGGCGGGGTGGGAGCTGGGGCGCGCAAACACCGCGTCCCCCCGCGGGCTTTTCTCGCGCGTGGGGAACCCGCTCCGCCTGGGCCGGGGCCCCGCTCTGCCTGCTCCCGGCGCTCCCCCCGGCCCCATAATTACCATTAATTCGCAAAACTGGGGGAAAAAAAGTCTCTTAAAAGTGATGTTCTGCCGGAGCAGCTATCGATCCCCTTTTTTACTTTCCACTTCAAGACCGACCGGTTAATCATGTGAAGTACCATTGACTTATTGATCGTTTATGTTTTGTTTTCCTTATATGCCAAGGAAAGAGCCGTGTTTACATGCGTGTAATTTTAATCTCCGAATCTTTATATCCTTTTCCAAAAGGCCTTGAAAAAGAAAGTAAGACTTTTCTGCAGCACACGGACGTTCAAAAATGGGGTAACGACAACTTACCATTGCTATACAATAACTGAAGTTTATAATGAATTCCATTGTTAGTTTTTTCATTGTTTGGCTCCTGCAAGTAACGATAAATAATTACATTTAGCATGAAAAATATCTCCCTCCTCCTGCCGTACATTTTTTTTTCTCGTCCCTGAAGCGGCTCGGAATTAACAGTTTGCAGAAATTCAGCCCACGGTTCACTTTTGTGGAGCGCTGATGATGTCATTATCTGGGTGCAAATATGTCATGTTTAGCCGTTTTCCCAGCGTTAAAATAAGTCGGGGACGCGGCGTTAAGTTTCTAAACGCGGGATTTATTCGGAGCGGCCGTAAAAACGGGGCGACCCGCACGTGGTCCGGGCGCCTCTGGAGTACCGTTAGTCGAAAATTGTCCGGGATCAATTAAATCACGCTTAGACGTGGGGTATTTAAAAAAAAAAAAAAAAAAAAAGGAAAAAATAAGATAACAGGCAGACTTACTTTCTCTTTCTCCACAAAGTCCACAAAAGCTGTTCTCTCAATCTCCACTGGCTGCCCCTGCCTGTCGTACAGAGCTAAGACGAAGTGGAAAAAATTGGATTTTCTGAGATTGGAAGGCGGCTGTTTCTCGAAATGTGCCCGAGCCAGCCCCACGCCGCTGCGGGAGAAAACAAGACAAGGCGTGGGTGAGAGCGGCCGGCGCGGCGGGAAGGGGCGCGCAGGCACCGCGGCCGCGGGGGGATGCGGGGAGCGCGGAGCGGCGCGGAGCGGGGAGGCTGTAACTGATACGGGGCGGGCGGGGGGGGGGGGGGTTGTGGGGGGGGGATTTACGGCCGGGATGAGAAATACAGGAGGAGAAAACCGCCGGGAGAGGATTTGGCAGACGTACCTTTGGGCGGCCGTGTTAGCATCCACTACCCCAGCAGTGTGCATCCACGAGCGGACGGGATTCATCCCACTGCCCAGCGGCTCTTCTTTCATGGTCGTCCCACCTCTTGGTATATTTTCCTGAATCCCAAACATTAAAACAAATTTGGGCAAAACCAGCTCCTAACCAAAAGGGGTTAAAATTGAGGGAAATGTCAGCTACGGGGTGGGTTGGTTGTTGCTTGATTTTCTCTCTCTCTCTCTCTCCTTGGCGACTGGAATATAAGAGATGACTTTACTCCCTGTGATCAGTAGGAGAAAAGCCCAGTTCAAGTCTTGCTTCCTTCTTCAATCTGTCCTGTATTGGCACGACATAAACAATTTACTGAGTACTTCTGTGCAGCGAGTTGGATGGCGTTCCAGTTTGGTGGTTTAAAAAAAAAAAAAAAAAAAAAAAAAAAGGAAAAAAAAAAAAAAAAAAAAGAAAGAAAAAGTGTAACTGCAGCCGGCGACACTGCGAGGTTGCTTTTTTTTTTGGGGGGGAAGGGGGGGTAAAAGAATAAATATTTTTGTTGTTGTTTTGCAGACGCGCTCAACGTGGTGTCATCCTAGTAAAACCGCCTCGGAAAAAAAAAAAAAGCTTCAGGACACTGCTGAATCGACCACTTTCTGGCAAGGCTCTCCTGCTCCAAAAGACAAATAAACGGGGGGGAGAAGAGGAGAAAAAAAAAAAAAAAAAAAAAAAAAAAAAAAAAAAGGGAAGAAAAAAAAAAAAAAAAGAAACCCACGCTGATTACCGCGGAGGTGTTCCCGGGCACACGGGAGAACGGGGCGCGGGCCCGCGGCGACTCGCGGAATGGACGGAGGCGCGCAGAGCCCGGCCCTCCCTCCCCGAGGAGCGCGCCCTTCCCCGGGAGCCGGGCCCCCGCCACCGCGGGAGACGTGGCGTCACTGATGACGTAGGCAGCGGGCGGGCTCAGCGCCATATATGGAGCGTGGGGTTCAGGAGCTCATCGCCGCGCTCCTGCCCGGCCCCGCGTGTGTCTCTGTGTGTGTGTCCCCTTTTTTTTTTTTTTTTTTTGGGGGGGGGGGGGGGTGGGGGTACACCCGCGCAGCAACGCGCCGTCCAGCTCCCCGCTATTTCCTTCAAAGCTGCTCACAGGACCAAGGGTGACCCCCCACCCCCCCACCCCCGCGTGGGCCGCAGGGCAGGGCGGCGTGACCCTCGTGGGGTTGTTTGGGGTAGAGGAGGAGAGGGTGGGGATGGACAAAGGGCGACGGGGGGCTGGGGGGGCGCAGCACCCCTCCGCGGTCCTGGATAGATACACGCACCCGCGTGAAGGGGTGTGCGGGGACACTCCATGCACACACACACCCCCCTCCAGCTATATGTCCGCCTTGTCCATCCATCCATATATATATATATACATATCCGCCCCGAGTGATGAGCTTTTTGCGCCCACTGTGGGTTAGGGCTTCCTTTTTTTTATTTTTATTTATTTATTTATTTATATTATTTTTATTGGTGTGAATTACCAAGGTCCGCGCGTTAATATTTTAATTAATCGCTGAAAATCGAAGTCCGATTTGTGTCAGCAAGAGACACCCCACCTCCCCACCCCCACCCCTTTCTCCAAGGGGTGAGGGGGGAAAAAAAAAAAAATGTGTTAGAAAGCAATCTATTTTGCTGGTGTTGGGGGTTAATGACTATTGCCAAAGATAAGTGAATTATCAAAGCTGTTGCTCTACCCGATCTCAAAATCCATTACATTGCTGGCCGTCTAATTAAATACGTAAGTATAATAAAATCATATTTTATGACTATTTGAGGGTAATGAGATTAGTCTTTAGAAGCGATCGCCACATATTAAAGATGCCACTGTCTATAGAATGTTAATAACCTTAAATCAAAGTGTATGGAAACTATTCATGATAAATTAAAAGAAAATTCCTGGATTCCTAATCAGCCCGGAGCTTTTGAGGTACAGTAGCGCAGATTACAAACCCAAACAATTTTTCTCGCGGAGGGACGAGCAAAGCAAAGTTCCCAAACAATGCGCTGCTCGGGTGGAAATGGCATTTGGTGACACGGAGACATTTGGGGACCTCGGGCGGGTGGCGGGGCCGGGGCTGCCTCTCCCCCCCCCCGCCCCCCCCCCCAGCCCGCCAAATCCGCCCCCCGCAAAATGAGGTAAAACCGCCCAACAACACTATAATTGTCACATATTTCCTAAAAATGCACAGAACAATGCCGAAGTTGGTTCTTCCCTCTGCTAACGAAAGCAGAATGCTTCAAATCATTTACAGTATCTTTAATTCAGATTACACGCGCCAAGGCGATTTAAATCTGATTACCAAATTAGAAGGTTTTAAAACAAATCCTTTTAAATCTGATACTGTTGACTAAGGAGGTAAAAAAAAAAAAAAAAAAAAAAAAAAGTTCCATAAGCCTATCACATAAGGTAACGATCCTGCCCCAGAAAGAAAGGGAGTTTTAAACCTTTTTGACAACAAATGCAGCTGCCCCACTATTTTGGACGATATTAAGCGAAAATGAATGCAAATCTGTGTTCAGAAGCCATCTGGCCAGAAATGGGGGAATCAGCTGCTCTTCACAACAGGCTCTGAGGCTGAATCTATTTCAGCTCATTTTCTAGATCATCTGGTCCTGCACCCAAAGCGTGGAAAATACGGTCTTTATCATTCACCAACTTTATCTTTTTTTTTTTTTTTTTTTTTTTTTGTGTGTGTGTGCGCGTGTGTGTGTGTGTCACTCCGCCGCTGCCTGCGAGCTGCCGCCAGCCCGCCCGGGATGCTCCTTGCCCTCTCCTTCTCCGCACCTCTCCGCGCACCTCTCCGCCCTGGACCGGGCCGAGAAATCCTGCGGGATTAACCATCCTCGGGATAAATTCTACCCGACGGCCCGGACCTCCCCCCGCCCCCGCTACCCTGAGCCGGGGCCGCTGCGGGGGAGACCGAGCTGGGAAGAACTGGGAAGAACCGGGAAAGGCCGGGAAGGGCTGAGAAAGGCTGGGAAGGACTGGGAAAAGCTGGGAAGGACTGGGAAAAGCTGGGAATGACTGAGAAAGGCTGGGAAGGACTGGGAAAGGCTGGGCCGGCCGCCGCGGCACCTTGCAGCGGGGAACCGGGGCGGGGGGGGGGGGGGGGGGGGGGGGGCCCGGCCGCTGCCCGGCGCCGGGCGGGCGGGGGGTGTGCGCGGCTGGCGGGGGCGGCCCGAGCCCTCCCGGCTCCGCGACCCTCCTCCTCCTCCTCCTTCTCCTCCTCCTCCTCCTCCTCCTCCGGCTCGGCGCGCCAAGTCTCCCTTTTGTGTGAATTTACGGGGTGAGGCTTCAGTGATCCCCCCCACCTCCCCCCCACCCCCCACCCCCCCCCACCCCCCCCGCAAATTTGCATTTAAATAGCGACATCAAGCGATTCGCGTGCCACACACCAGTGGGCTCCCAGATGTCACGGCGGAACCGCTCAGATGGCCGCAGCCCAGCTGGCCCCCCGGCCCAGCCCCGCTCCGCGGCCCCCCGCGCCCGCGGCGCCCCCGCCGCCTGCCGCGCTTCGGCCGGCGAGACCTCCGCGTCCCGCGGTAAATCACGCCGCGGAGCCCTTCGCCCCGCATAATAACACCTAATCACACGCCGTACGGGGATCGCGCAGATTAAAATCGATAGCCTCCTCCCCACCACCGTTATCAGATTCTCCTAAACTTTCTATTTTCCCCACCCCACCCTCTCGGGACTATTATCTTCATCATTTCACTCCCCCCCCCCCCCCCCCCCTCCCTTCCCACCTCTCCAAACCGCTTCACATTGTTTTAAATCACAGAAGTTTCAGCCCGTATTTACTTTCCCGTGAATTCCGTCGCGGACCCGCGTGGGCCGGGCTGTCTTGTTCCGCACCCCCGCCCCCGGAGCGGTTCCCACCGCAGAAACTTTTCCCCGCGGAAAGTTGCGCCGGGAGAGGCGAGCGGCGGCCCCGGCCCTGCCCTCCACCCGCTCCGCGCCCCGCGCAAGCTCGCCAAGGTGCATATTTCAATTTTATTGTTGGAAGGCGCCTTCATTACTAACGCGCTCGCTTACAGTAGGTGTAATTTATGCCCGGTTTAACCGAAACAAATCTCTGCTAACTCTTGTTTCCTGCGCGGCAGAGGAGGGATAAATGTGTATTTTCGGGTATTTTCAGTAAAGCGGCGGATGCCTGGGTACCGCGGCTCGGCTGTCGGGGCGCCGGCGGGTACTCCAGGGCGTAAATTCACAGCGGAGGAGAAGGAGGAGGTAATAAGCGCGGGGGCGCAGCGCCGCGGAGGGTCCGGCCCTGCCCTTGCGCGGGGGGCCGCGCAGCCTGCGCCCACGGTGGACCCGGCGGCCGTGTAGAGGCCGAAGCGGGACGGGCAGGGCCGGGTGCTGCCACCGGTGTTTTGGGACACGCCGGGCCCCCCCTCCGCTACCCGAGACCCCCGCAAAGGAGAAAGTTCGCGGAAGGGCCGCCCCGCGCAGCGGGCTCGCCCCCCGCGCAGCTCTGGCTGCTCTCGCCGGCCTCACCCGCCTTTTCTTTTATTTGGTATTTATTTATTTACCCTCTTTGGGTGGTGGCGGGGGGGATTTCGCTCTTTGAGTTTAAATTCCTGAGCATCCCGGGTGGAAAGCGGCCGGGGAGAGAGGCACGGTACAAACCCCCGCACCCCGGGGAGGAGGGCTGACCCGCTCCGCGCTCCGCGCAGGCCACCGCGGGGCAGGGAGACGGCTCCTCGGGGGCTGCGCAGGAATGGGGGGGGACGGACCGTCCCTCCCCCTGCTCAGGCCTTTCGAGCAGCGCCGTCGGGTCGGGCCGCCCCGGTGTCCCTCAGCGGGCCGTCCGCGCCCCGTCCCGCGTCTTTGCGCGCCCCGCGGCCGGGCTGCGCGGCGAGGTGGTGGAGCGATGGAATACCTCGTGGGTGCAGGGGGGTTTTACTCAAACCGGCGCTTGGTCCTGAGCTTCTCCAGGCGCGCTGGCGCGCCCCGGCGCCCCAATATTGTTAAATCAATAATTAGTTCTTAAAAAAAATAATAATAATAAAAGGAGGGGAAAAAAAAAAAAAAAGGCTTAAACTTTCCCCTTGCCCGACTGCCAGCCCTGGCAGCCGTGCGTCCAAGCAGAGCCTTCCCTCGGAAGGAAAAACTCCCCGCGGCTGCTGCCCGGTTCCCGGTTGTCCGACGGGCGACGGCCCGAGGGGACGGTGAGGGGCCGCCCGCCCCCCTTTCCCAGCTTCCCGGGGCCTGAGAGGGGGAGTTTGGGGATTTGGGGGGCGACGCGGGTGTCGTCCTCCCCCCCTCCCAGCACGGAGCCGCTCAGCCGGCGGGCGGAGGGGCGGCCGCCCCCGCCGTGGGGCGCGGACGGGCGCGGGCGCGCAGCCGGGGCCTCGGGGAGTTGGCGGCCGGACAGGTCCTGTCCGTGCGGCGAGAACAATATAAACTGACTCCAACTGAATAAACAAGGATCGATCAGATA